CCCACGCACCAACCCACCCTTGCCCGTATCATGCCCCCCCCCTTTCCACCCTCAAGGCGCCTCCTCAACCCCCAAGATGCGCAACTCCCCCTTCCTGCGCGACGCCCCCGCCATGGACATCGGGCCACCCGCCGCATCCCCCCGCGCGCCCCCGACGCCGCTGCCGCCGGGCGGCGGCAGCGGCGGCTTCGGCGGCGGGCCTGGTGCCGGGGCGCTGCTGGGGGCGGTCAACTCGGTCGGCGGCGGCGGGCCGGTGCCGGCGTTCGAGGACCCGCCGATCTGGCAGGAGATCTTCAGGTGCGGCTTCGGCTTCCCGTGGGTCCCCTTTCAGGGCCGTGCGGGCTGACAAATCCTCCAACGAATGTGTGGTCGGTCAAGGCAAGCAAGGGGCCGCCGCGGACGCAGGTGTTGCCGCCCCCCGGGTTCCCAGCCCCTCGCACCTCCCAACGTTCACGCACCACAGCCCTGATGAACCCTCATCCACCCCACCGACATCCCCACCCGCACCCCCCCCAAACATCAAGGTTCCTGCGCAACCCCCGCAAGCCTGTCATCCTGGCCATGAGCCGTCCCGATGCCAAGAAGAACATCACCACCCTGGTCCGGGCCTATGGGGAGAACAGGGCGCTGCGGGACATTGCAAACCTTGTGCTCGTCATGGTGAGGGCTGGGGTGATGGGCGTTGAAAACCGCCCATGGGAGGGTTCAGTGGCCGGTTTCAAATGATCAGCGAGGGGAATGGGTGCAGGCGCGGCCTGTTTTTGGAGGGGGTTTTCCCTGCCGTGCTTCAGCCTGCCTGGATTTGGAGCCCAGCCCACCGCCGTGGCTCAGCCCGTGGCCACACGCCCGGCGTGATTCACGCCACCTCCGCGCCCGTCCAACTTCCGCCCCAACCCAGGGCAACCGCAAGGTCATCGATGGCATGGCCGCCAGCAGCGCCAAGGTGGGCGGGGGCTGCAATAACCAGTGTCGTCGTTGCTCACAAGCTCGCAGGGCTCTGTATCAGGGTGGCCCGTTTGGGCGGGGCGGGAGCCGCACCTGCTTCTCTGCACACCGATGACCGTTGGGATGGTCCTTGGGGCGCGCGACACCTGTGAAGCGCTGCCCGCGGACCCTCATCCCAGACGTGTGCTTGTGCTGCTCTGACCGTTTTATGCAGGTCCTGGAGAGTGTGTTGAAGATGGTAGACGCCTACGATCTGTACGGCAGGTGAGGGGGTAGCTTGGTGGTCAAATTGAGTGCGAGATGGGATTTATCCATGTATAATGTCGCTCGTGGGGTGGCAGGGCTGGGAGCAGTGGAGGGGGGCGGCTGGTGACGACCTGCTGTGCCGCCCCGCACTCCTGTTGGCGTGTGCGAGAAAGCCGCGACACCCTCCTTTCAAAGCCGTGACCCCCTCCCTCCCGTGCGCCCATCCGACACCCCCCCCCTCCACCTCCTGCCCCCACCATAACGCAGCGTGGCCTACCCCAAGCGCCACACCCAGGATGACATCAGCGACATCTACCTGCTGCCCCACCACACCAGGGGCGTGTTCGTCAACATCGCCTTGCAGGTGGGAACCAGGGGGTGGCAGTACTGTGCAAACAGAGGTCTTTCAGTTATCCAAGCCTGCGTGCCAAGGCAGCCTCTGCCTGCTCCTGCCTGCATCGCAGAGCCGGTCCC